TAACCACTCTAAGTTTGTCTGCCTTGGGAAAGCTAGCGTGTCTGCGCCATAGTGATAACACTCGTTGCCTTCCCTAGTGCAGCTCAAGCAGGTCTCGTCCCATTCGTCGATATTTGTGATATCACAAATCCCGGAAATTATGCGTTGTAGTCCAAACGAGTCGTTCGTTGTAGTTTTTGAAAAGTGATTTCTGTTAAATAAAATATCTCCTTTTGAATTGGACTTTGAGCTTTGTAACTTTGCAGATCTTTTTTATGCTCAAACAGCAACATTACAGTCTAACTAAAGTTGAAATAGTGAAAAAGCATAATAGGACCCCTTTAATGTCTATCTTTTTTAAATGCTAGACTCCAGTACCCCTAAGACCAACTCGAGGTCGTAACACTTTGATACAGCACTCTGTGAACAGCCCTTTCAGTAATGACCTTCTGTGACTTACCCTCTTTGTGGAGGGTGTCAATGATTGTCTTCTGGACCATTGCCAAGTCAGCAGTCTTCCCCATTATTGATGGTCATTTAATGAAACTCAGATGTAAATATTCTAATATTTTGAGATACTGGATTTTTGACTTTCATGAGCTGTAAGCTCTAATCATCAAAATTAAAACAAAAAACTTTTGAAATGTTTTACTTTAAATGTAATGAATCTAGAATATATGCAAGTTTCACTTTTTGAAATAAGTTACAATTTTTTTTTCCCATGATATTCAAATTTTTGAGATGCACCCGTGTATGTATATGTGTGTATATATATATATATAGACCCCTTTAATGTCTATCTTTTTTAAATGCTAGACTCCAGTACCCCTAAGACCAACTCGAGGTCGTAACACTTTGATACAGCACTCTGTGAACAGCCCTTTCAGTAATGACCTTCTGTGACTTACCCTCTTTGTGGAGGGTGTCAATGATTGTCTTCTGGACCATTGCCAAGTCAGCAGTCTTCCCCATTATTGATGGTCATTTAATGAAACTCAGATGTAAATATTCTAATATTTTGAGATACTGGATTTTTGACTTTCATGAGCTGTAAGCTCTAATCATCAAAATTAAAACAAAAAACTTTTGAAATGTTTTACTTTAAATGTAATGAATCTAGAATATATGAAAGTTTCGCTTTTTGAAATGTTACAAAAAAAAAATTATTCAAATTTTTTTAGATGCACCTGCATATACAGTCTCTAAAAAAATGTGTAAAAATATTTTTTTTATGTTTTGTATCTAGTTAGTCATGCCATTATAATAAATAGTTTACACACAAATAAAGTGTTTAATATTGGTAATAAAGAAAAAGTAAACATCTACACACAGGGAATCACTTTTTTGCACAAAAAGGTAGAAGCAAAGTAATTCTAAGTAAAATATGCCTTGAATTAATTTCTGTGAATCATTTTAAACTGAATGACAATTAAAAATACCAACTAATACTCCTATTGGCTCTTTGCAGGAGCAGAATGAGCTTGACACTGGATTTACAGATATTTCTAAAATCATATCAGAGGAGGATGTGGATACTTTGCCATATATGGGCTGGACTGAAGGGAAGCTGAAGGCTGTGCATATTAGCAGTGCTGAAGATGATGATGTATGGGTAACAAAAAAAGGGTCTATTAAATCTGTTATGTCATGTAGTGATAAAAGTTGACATCGTTCGGTATTCAGCTCTTCAGTATTCACAACAATGATTTTGATTTTATTTTTTTTTTCAGATGAAGGGAAGCTGCTGTAGCTCCACATCTGAAGAACTCCTGGGTTGTGCTCGTGGAGCAGCCGATTTTGATGATGATGATGATTCAGAGGGTGGCTATGGGTCTATTAATGATTTTATAGGACAAACATCTGCAGCTTGCCCTTCTCCTCCTAGCTCCAGTAGCCCCTGGCGTCCTTCAGGTTTTGAAGGTAGAATTGAGGCTGTCAAAGGCTATGTGAAAACTAAATTAGCTGTAGATGCAATGTATCCCCCTTACCTTTCCATCGAGCTTGGTGCATCAATGGCTGCTTCTAGTCCTAAACCCTTTTGTCTACAGGAAGACTCAGTAGAACCTCTCACCTTGGCTAACAGACTTTCTCCTCCTCCTCCTTCTTTTGGTACCTACTTGAGTGACAGGCTTCCCCCTCCAGTTGCCTCCCAGGTTAATGCCTCAGTGCCTCCTCTCTTTGACCTTCGCTGTAACGTTGAGGCAGTCGAATCTCTCCCCTTAGATTACAGCCTTGATTCCCAGACAGGCACGGCTACCATAGGTGCCTCAATTGATGCTCTTCGTCCTCCTTGCATTCGTAGTCTCCGTCAAGAGTTAATGGAACCTCTTTCCAAGACTCAACGGATTTCTTCTCATCCTTCTTTTGGTGCCATGATGTCCAGAACTGGCTCCTTGAATGACAGACATCTCATTTCCCCTGCCACCCAGCTTTTTTCCTCAGAGCCTCCTCACTCTTATTCTAGGAGATCTGAATCAGGGGAATACATAGACTACGGACTTGATTCCCAGAAAGAAATTACTCCAATAATTTGCCCCATGAGTTCTACCTTTTCCTGTGCCACAGAGATCTACACCGAGCTTGACACCTCAACACGTACTCTCTTTACAGATCCTCCTCATCCTCCTCGTCTCGCATCTCAGCCATTCATGTCTATGACTCCAAGCCCTGCTTCCCCTCCTATTTCTCGCAGGGTGGTTGCATCTTTTTCCAGGAGGCGCAGGGCTGGCTTTGATCAACCTGTGTTGTATGCACCCCCCTCTCTCCCTGTATCTGGTGGCTTTGGTGGTTTCCTCCAAAGTACAAATGGGTATGTGGGTTATGGTTCCTCAGCCACTGGACTCTTTGGAGCATCTCTGGAACTGCAGAAAAAGGCACGACAAGAACCACTACAACGAATAGCCACTCTGACTTCTGAAGCTGGTAAGTTGCCTTACATTGATGAGGTTTCATCTGTGATCAATGTTGAGATGAAGTAATAGCAGCTTTCTGTTCTTTGTCTCATTTTTATATCATTGTCTCCTTTTTCTATCCTTTCTCTGATGAAGCTACACACAGTGCCGCTTCCTACCCGGCTCCCCCTCTTCCTGCTCCTTCTGTTCTCTTTGGTCAACCTACAGTTCCTGAGTTTGCTATTGGCATGTCAAATGCCGTTGTATTTGGTGGCACTACTGGTGTCCTGCAAAAGGCAGCTGAGCCTGAACAGTCTTCTGGTTTCTCAGTTTTTAGCTTTGGAGCATCTCAGCAACAACAAAAACACCCTGTGTTTTCTGCACCTGGTAAGTTGACTCACATTGATGAGTTTCTATATCTGCTCAATGTTCAGATGGATTAAAAACATTTGTCAAACGTATGTCTCATTTCTTATTATGCTGGAACCAAAGGCTTTCCTATGCGTAGAGGGAATATGGGTCTGTCGCTTCCAGGAAAACCGATGAGCAGACCAGACACAGTGGCCTGGAATGGGTTGTTCGAACTTCAGCATGAGGTGTTTACACATGATTTAATACACTAGATTATATACAGTATGTGAATGTGTGAGGGAATCTGAACATATGCGATGTGTTTGGATATAGGATGGATACTGGGAGTTGACTGACAGGCTGAGCAGCTTCCTCAACCTGGACGTAGACTTTTTTGCAAATGTCTTCCTTCAGGAGAAAGGCATCCGTTCTTTTGGTAAGAAGATTTTTTACATGCCTGTTGCTGGTCTGGACCATATTGCAGCTTATTCTCAGCAAGAACTGCCCATTTAGACAGTTGTTCATATGTGCCATTTAGGTGCCATATATGTACCTTGTGAACACAACTGTTTCCAGACAGACTGAGAGAAACACCTGTGTGTCTTTACTGTGTAGCACTAGCCAATCATAGTAGAGCTTGATAGAATGAGAAAGTGCTTTCCAGTTTAAAGTGCAAAATCTGAATATAGCTTAAAATAATCAGATCTTTATTTTTCAGACACCGTTTGTGAGTCAGAATCAGTTAATCAGTCACATGTTTTGTGTGTCAGGTGTGAAGGCTCATGCTGAAATTCTGAGGCTGGTGGCGACTCTGCTGGTGCTGCAGCTGATCCGGGTGAAGAAGCTGGAATTGGGACGGTTGCTTGAGTCTCTCCTCCGACTAAAAGAGTCCCAGGAGCCCAGGTACCAGCACATGTCCTCATGCGGTGTAGTGATTGACTCTTGTATTGTTGGATCCATGACTTTCTGCTCGTCTCCATTCAGACCGATGTACTGGGAGGCAGTGAAGAGGGCCGTGGACTGGGCCTGCCGGACAGACAGACAGTATCCGTGTGTGTGCAGCAGGCTGGAGATCGGGCAGGATTGGGAATCATCTACACGTCAACTACTGGGCTGTGATTCTCCACACCCATATTCCCCACTCAAACCTGTTCTGGAGAGACGTATGGATGTATCAGTCATGTAGAAACTAGACAAAAACTTTCCTCTTCATTGACAGTTGCTGCTTCACTTGGTGTTAGCTTAATATTGCAGAAATGATCTTCATAGCCTTAAAGTGTCTCAAAAATATATTTGGACACTTTTAGCCACACTTAAAATTGCAAAATGTCAAACCAAGTATTTACAAATAAATGATGCAAAACTAACTAGCTAACAGACCAGCTTGATAACTGATTGAAATGCAAATATGGCTATATGATGAGAATTATGCTTGATTTACTGTATTTTAAGTTTAAGTGCTGTTACTATGAGAAACCATGACAACAAACAAGGTGGACAAGGGAACAAGGGAAAACAGGAACTAAACAAGAAAGTGAACACAGAAACAATGTGGAACAGAAACCCTTCAAAATAAGAGTCCAAGACAGGGGGAAAAGACAAGGATCTTAACAAGTACAGTTTAATAAATCAGTTTTTGTGAAGTTTACATTATTTTTATGAAACAGCATAATTGTATAATCACAAACCAAGTAATCACTGTTTTTATTCATTTTATTTCAGCATTAAAGTTATTTCAGTATATCAAGTTAAACTAATGGGAAAATGATATATACTTTATTTCAATTATTTCAAGTAATATGTTTTTATTATTTTCATTTTAGCTTTATTTTTGGTTATCTTTTGTTAGATCTTGTTAGAATTTGGATCCATGACTTAGATTTTGTTAGAAATATCAGATCCAGCCCCAGACACCAGGGGCCTTATTTATAAAATGTTGTGCCGAAACCATCCTAAATTTGATCTTACGATCATCTCTCAAATATGCATTCATGTGATTCATAGAATTAACGTACGCACGCTTTATAAATGAGGCTCCAGATCCTGTCAGAAAATATCCGTTTTGTCTGGTAACTGAACAACTAGTCAGCAAAATTGTCTAATACCCAAAACCCGTTAACAGCAAGTCTTGTCTGAAAACCAGTGATTGTCTGGTACACAAAACTGTATTAACAGTCTTCTATCCAACAACTGGAATATCAGAGAAAAGATGAGGCATTGTTGATCAGCTGAAGCTCGGACGCAGAGATTCAAAACAAATAGCTGTTTCCTCTCTCCTGAAGTCTTGACTGAGTTCTTGAGGCACTTTATATCAGTCAAGATGCCTAGAAAAAACATTTCTCAAGATGGTTTTGAACAGTCTTGCCAACAAATCAATGGGTTCCTCTTTGGAAGTTTGAAAGTGACATTTAGAGAATTTGTTTAAAAAATGCAGTGTGTTATGGTTTCAATATGAGCGTTTGAGTGATTTCATGTACAGCTCGTGATACTCCAACAACAGTGTTTTCTTTCTTTACATGAATGAATAAATTAATCAATAATAACAGAATGAAAAAAAAAAATAAAAAATGAGATGAAATAACTATAAATATATATTGCCAGATTGTTTTGAAATAAATACTTCCTTAAAACGTCTATGTCCAGTTCAATCTCCCATTTTTCCTTATTATAATACAGTTTCACAAAATAAATGTCCTGGAATATTTCATACATTTGTCCACTTATTCAGTCATATACATTAGATGTATTATGTGCATCAAAAGGGATATCGCCTGCTGCATTTATTTGAACTTCCTCTTTCCAAAAAATTTTGCAGACAAATTTGCTGTAAATTAACAGATATTTGTACAATAACTATTTTGATACTGAAAAACGGTGTAAGATTTACTTTCAAGCAATTTTCACTCAGAAATCGTTTGTGCATTTGACAAGCAGTTACAAAGAAATGGCAAATAACACACTGAATTAAATGTCAAATTTTGAAGTAAAAAGACTAAAATAGTATATTCTTTTAAAACCTACTCCAATAATTGTTTTATATACAACTTTAAAAAAAAAAACATTTTTACAGTGTACATCCTCAAATATATCTATTTTTCAATGTACATTTTACAAAGTCATTTTCCCAGATCAAAAAAAAAAACTGTGATTAACATTTTGGTGCATTAGGATGCAGTATAAAATCTGGATCATGCTATTTCTCTGAAACAAATTGATTCACATGAGGATTGATTTAATCATAACCTGAACTCTTGATAAACCAGTTGCATGTGCCAGCATACACTAGGTTCAGGCTCCTCTGTATATTTTTGTGAAAAGTGAAGTAAGAAAGCAAAAGTCACCTGATGTCTGCGTCCAAGACCACAATTGCAAAATATGTTTTTCCCACATACATGTGCCAGAATGTGTTTTTCAGCTGGTATATAATTTCTCAGAATCATACACCAATTTCACAAAAGTAACTCATAATGACAAAGCCCATTATCAAACACCACTTTCTCAATAAGTGTCTCAAAAAAAACTTGACACATAGCTCTAGTCAGACTACATTTAGGAAGAAATGTGTATTGTATTGTACAAGGCAAACAATTTTAGTTTAATTTTTTTAGCATCTAACGCATGAACATGTTTCAAGGTGGAAATGTAAAAAGTTTTAAAAGCATTAAGTTGTGCATAAAATTACAGGTTTTTGTACATCTTTTTTCTTTAAAGGGACAGTTCATTCAAAAATGGATATTTTGTCTTTATTTGCTCCCCCTCATGTTGTTCCAAACCTGTATGAGTTTCCTTCTTCTGTTGAACACAAAAGAAGGTATTTTGAAGAAACGTTGCTAACCAAACAACTGATGGTAGCCATTGACTTCCATAGTTTTTTCCCTATTATGGAAGTCAATGGACATCAACTGTTTGGTTAACAGAATTCTTCAAAATATCTTCTTTTGTGTACAGCAGAAGAAAGAAACTCATTTGTGTTTAGTGTTATAAGCACACTCCCAATTTATTATTTAGATGAAATGGTTAATTCAAGCGATGTGTTATCAAGAGTGTCAGGACACACCTCTCAGAGGTAATATTGACACAGGGAGGAGGTGCTGTTTGAAACTAGTCTGAGGGGATTAGAAAGCGCTCATCCGTTTTAGCCTGTTGATTTATTATGCCGTCTACAGAGATGCTGAGCAGAGTGGTACATCAATTCATCAAAGACACTGCTTAAATGTAGGAACAGGTCACCAGAATGGCTTCAATAGGACAAATAATCTTTGGAAGGTAAAAGACTTTTTCAAACCATTTCAGGCTGAAAATTATAGTATGTATAATAAGTCAATATTGAATGTTCATCAGATTTGTCTTTTGCAGTATAATTTTTCTCATAGTAGTAATTTCAGGACTCGTCGTTTTCATTCTGGCTATTGCATTTTCAGGTTAGTAAAACATTCTGTTCTAAAAATGCATTTGGACTTTTGATGTATATAAACTAAACAGTTGTGTGCATGTTTGTTTCCAAGTGTCCCAAGGTACTGTTGAAAGCAGAAGTCCCTCTACTGTGGGAAACTTTGCTGAGGATGCGGTCCTGGATTGCAGGTTCCTTAGCAACAGTGGCAATGAGCGATTCAGTGATGTGTCAATTACTTGGCTGAAAGACTCTGTCAGTGGGGTGGTCAATGAATACAAAAACAAAGCAGCCCAGCTTCAGGGGCAGAATACACAGTTCAAAAACTGTTCTCGGATGCGATATCAGTGGGAAATGCTTCCCTACTGCTGAGAAATGTGAAGCTGGAGGATGAGGGTGTGTATCGCTGCTCTGTCAATGCACCAAAAGTCTCAGGGACTACCAGCGTTAACCTTAGAGCGGCTGGTAAATACATTTTTTATTCATTTATTTCAAAGTAAATTAATGTTTAAAACCAGACAATGTAGTTCTGCTTTATACTTCAAAATGACTCTTTTTATGAGTAAGTCACTGAAACGTTCACTCAAATTATTCATTCAAAAGCCTGATTCATTCAGGAACAACACAAACGACTGGCTACATCTGAAATCGCATATTTCCCTTCTATATAGTGGGTGAAAAACAGCATGTGAACAGAGTAGTATGTCCGAATTCACAATATTCATAAAACAGAAGACAAAAAGTCCCTGGATGACACACTACATCTGGCTAGATTCGGAAGTGTGCATCCAAGGGACAGTTTACTATCACATGAGGCCACGAGAGAATATTTGTGAATTACAGTGAAGTGACTGAGGCTGGTAGCTCACATGACAATGACAGCATGACAAATGTAGTACATCCAGATTACATTCATACTGTATAGAACATACTTTTTAATGGTCGTTAAGTAACTATTCAAAAGAAGTATGTACTCTGGAAGTATGTTATTTTGGACACAGCCACTGTCTGTAAAAATGATTCTCTGAATCATTCACTCAAACAATTGATTCAAAACCCTGATTCATCCCAGAACTAATAGGTGCGTTCGACTTGAAGCACGGCTACAGACAGCAGTCAACGACAGCAGCCGCTTGCAGTCGGGGGCGGAGTTGAAAATGGAGCCGTCAAACCGGTGTTACGAGATTTTTGATTTCCGAGATTTTCTGTTTCAGTGGGCGGGGAAACATGAATATTCATGAGTTTCCCGGACATACGCCGTCTAACTGAGAATTTCAGTTCACGCTCCTTGTATCTCAGCAGGTTTAATGGGATATTCTTTAAAATGGTAAATATATTTACAGTGTTGCACAAACTACATTTGCTTATCATTTCCTAACAGTTTATAATGTTTTTATTAGTTTACAGTGCACGTTTTGTGCAGTCGTCCCTGACTGAATGATTGCAGGCACTCTTTGTGTAATGTTAGGATAAAGCACAGCAAACTTCAGCTAGTTGTAGCCTATACATTGATTTCAGTTCTTTGTGCTCTTCATTTGTAGCTTGCGATGCTTTAAAACGGTGTCTGTTATTAGTGGTTATCATTTGCTGAATACATCACTGCCTGCAACAAATGAAATAAACGTATCTGTGGACATTTTTTTTTTTTTTGTATAGTGGTGTGATGATCCATGTCTTAACTTACCCCGTTCAACATTCTCCATGTTGTCTGGTTGTGAATTGTCTGCTTCCATTTGGAATTTGCCCCGTGAACCGTTCGGTACCGACACTCGTATCGGCACATCCCTAGTATAGATGTAATGGACATAAATTCAACTTTAAAAAGTGTGAATTGTATGAATTGAATCCATATGAAACTTTTGTTATTAATTTATCACCTGCTCTTGAAACATATATCATAGACTGTTTCACATGCTATTGCTATTATCTAAAACTGTTCATGTAAAATGTTTGCAATGCCAATAAATATTGCGTTCTTATGCAAACAAGTTGAATTTCCATTACACTTTTTACACAAATGATCATGTTAATTTCAATATTTAATCAGTAAATATTACTACAATATTAAATCTAAATTGTATCTATTAATATTAAACAATGGACCTGAGTTAACTAACAATTAAGGCGAGACACTGCAGGTGAATAGGGTAAAAATATTAACTAATAGTTATCACCTTACTTACCCAGTTGATTGATTACATTGATAATTGCAAACATTTTTTTTTATTCCAAGTTTTCTAAAACGTTATGTTTAAATATGCAAATGAGGCATTATTTATGAAATATGTGCTAATTTGCATACATTTCTAGTACAAAAATCTGAACACTGGAGTCAGTTTCAAAATTCTTGTTTAATTTTTTTGACATATTAGAGTCAAATGTTTTTACAGAGGGAATTTTGGGTATCTCTTTTTGTCACTCCATAATTCAGAAAAATATTTGAACAGCCATAAAACAATATATTTTCAAATTTTTGGGGGGAATAAAATGTTGTATATAATCAAGCAAGTTATATATGAATAAATCCCTCTGTAAAAACCTTCAGAATATAGACAGGAATACAAATGTAAAGTTTGGTGTGTGTAAGTGAAGTGGAGATTTATGGCTCAGTGTAGGAGAAAAAACTAATTTTGAGAAAACGGCCTTTAAAATATGTATTGTAATTGAAATCTATTGACACAAATAGATAAAGTGCTATAAAATAAACACTTAACCGTGTCTTTTGGATGTTTTCTTTCCACTAGTCTTCTTTATCAACACTTTATGAAAAGCCAAAAAAGCCCAAAATCTCAAAATTGACAGGTGCATGAAAAAATAGTGTTTTTGCCTGCAGTGTCTCCCCTTAACCCAACGTTAACAACTATTAATAAATATAACAAATGTGTTAAATCTTGTTGGTGTTAGTTAATGCATTGGGCTTATTAATGTAAACGATGGACCTTATTGTAAAGTATATCTGATAACAAAAGATCAGCTATTTAATAGCTGTCTAACCAATACAATGATATTGCCAAAGCTACATTTTTTACATTGTGCATCTTTTTTATTACATATAGCTTAGGCTAGTCTCCTGGTTTATTCCATATAGAACTGAAACTGTATTTGTAAAGGGAATTGGCAGGAAATAAGGCATGAGCTGCGTATTAGCAATCTTTGACCTTTGGGTGGTGTGTGATCTTGTGTCTTGATCATAGACTGTCTAGCCAGCAGATGGGGACACCCATATTCCACGCGTGTTTTACAGGCGCAGGTTCCTCTTTTTACACGCTGGGACAGGGTCGGATTTCAGGCCACGCCTCAAAACGTGTACGCGTAATATGATTGGACGACGAGACACGTTCTCAAATAACATGAGCGAAAAAGTTAACTCTCTCACAAGTTTGGCGAGAGTTGCATTTTTAGTAAATGACAAGATTTACCAAAGGCGATTAGCCATTTTATAGTAGAGTTTTTGTATTAACCCGCGTTATAGTAAAACAGAAAAACAACAACTACAATGTCACTTTGCAAAGAGCGATTAGTTCATGAAGAAAAGCTAGAAGCAGTCTTGAGTAAAAGCAATGGGGACACTAAGAAGTCCAAAGCGGTCTGTGGTGTTTGCAGTCGGATGTATCGAGACCCTAAAATCCTGCCCTGCTTGCACACGTTCTGTGCGGACTGCATTCGCCAGCGCGAGCCGTTCTCAGAGCGTCGCGTGAACGGGGAACGACGCTCGCCAGAGGATGACACGCACCGGCGCGACTCTGGCTCAACAATCCTGTGCCCTGAGTGCGATTCGGAGGTGGATCTGCCCCCATCGGGTGTGGATGGGCTGACAACTGACCATCTTGCGCTGGACGAGGTTTTCGTGGAGACGCTGCTGGTGGACTGCAGGGTTTTGTGCGACTTGTGCAGCGAGAGTGACGCGGGGAAGCGCTGCGAGGTGTGCGGCGTCAATCTCTGCGACTTCTGCAGTCAGGCTCACAGGTCAGTTTATTAGAGAGTTTAGTTTCGTAATTAACACGTCAAGTAAAGAAGTCATGTATTAATCCTCAAGCCATGTATGACTTTACTCCTTTAACAGAAATTGAGAAGTTAAAGCGATAGTTGAACCAGAAAAATGAAAATTCTTTTAATTTTTTTCACCCTCATGTTTTTTTAAACTAGTATGACTTGTATGAGAATATATTTTGAAGAATTTTGGGAACTAAACAATTTTGGTTCCACTGTATGGACAAAAACATTAAGACATTTCTCAAAATATAAAGTAAATATTTATGGTATTCGAAAAAGAATATTAAATATTAATATTTTCTTTCAAAAGGGATGCATTTTGAGACCATGACAAGTCTATCTACTGCAACAACGGATAATAGTAAATATTCCAGAGGTACACAATTTTTTGTCACCCATTTGAACGTTTTTATTAATAAAACAAAAATACACAATGGCTACATCTGAATATGCATATTTTCCTACTATACAGTAGGTGAAAGAACATTACATGAAAGGAGAATTATGTCCGAATTCACAATATAAAAAAAAAAAAAATGGAGTCGAAAACACCTGAATGACCTACTACTTCCAGTGAGATTCTAAAGTACACACCCAGTGGACACTTTACTATCCCATGAGGCCACTGGAAAGGAGTAAAACAAGATTGTATAGGTCACATAACAATGACAACATGAAGAATTAAATATGACCAGATTACACTTAAACTATACATTCATACTATATAGAACAAATGTATTCAAAATTAAAAATAAAACTTTGTCTTTCTCTTTATTTATTCCTTCCCTTTCTAGCTTGTACTTATTTGAACAAATGCCTGAAACATGGTATTACGAGCACTTCCTGTGTCTGTTTGCCTCTTTAAGAAGAATCGCTTTATGTATTCCCTAATTGTAAGTCGCTTTGGATAAAAGCGTCTGCAAAATGACTAAATGTAAATGCAAAAGCAGTACCTACTCCGAAAGTATGAGATTTCTGAGACAGTTTTTTGACAGACTCGCCCTTAACTTAAACTCGGGGCTCAAAGAAGTCAGTTGCACTCAAAATACCACTTTGTGGTGCCATTTATGTGTGTTCAGCTCATACCATTTTTGTGACATAACTTGAATGCACCATATTTCCTGTAATACGTAATGTCAAAACTCTTGTAATCTTCCCTGCAGGAGACAGAAGAGGACCTCCTCTCACTCTATCCAAAGCCTACAGGAGCTGAAGTCTCAGGGTCGTCTCACTAGACCCGTCCTGTGCTCGCTGCATCCTGGACAGGAGTTACGGCTCTTCTGTGAGCCGTGTGACCTCACCGTGTGCCTGGAGTGTGCGGCCACCTTTCACCACGACCACCACTGCAGCTCTGCCCATGAAGTCATCAGTCATCATGGCGATCGCATCAGAGATCTGGTCGTCAGGAGCTTAAGGCCTCGTCTTGGCCGTCTGGAGGAGTCTCTAAGACGCGTAGACACATCCCAAGAGGCGCTGCAGGCTCGGGCTGACACGTTGGCGGGTGAGATCCGGGCGTTTGCTCGGAGCTATGCCAGCGCGGTGGAGGCTCATTGCAGCTCACTGCTGCGGTCACTGGAGGACTTAAGGTCGCAGCGCAGGAACCAACTCCATCTGCAGAAGGCTCAGCTGCAGCAGGCCTTGTCTGACGTCCGCGGTGGGGTGGACTTCGCTGAACGCCTGCTCACGTGTGGTTCTGACGCTGAAATCCTCAGTGCCAAAGGAGTTACTATGAGGAGACTGATGAACCTTGTGGAGTCAGGATTCGACCCACAGCCAACGACGGTCGCCCCTGATAATGCCAGCAGCATCTGTTTCCTTCCTCAGGAGAGTGCTGGAGAGGTGCAGGGATTTCCTGTGGTGGGAGTCATACATGCCAAGACTGTGGATCCCAGCAAGTGCACGATCCAGGGAGAAGGTGAGAGTCGGGTACTATCTATCTTCAATAGCTTTACACTTTCAAGCGTCAAAAATGACACACAAGCATTAAAATAAAAAAGATCCCACTTTATATTTGGTGACCTTAACTACTATGTACTTACCGTATTGACCCGAATATAAGACGATGTTTTTTTCTTGGAAATACATCTGAAAAAACGCGGTCGTCTTATATTC